CGGAGACCACTTTGAATCGGACGTTTGGCTGCACTCCCGTCCCTTCCACATCCCCTTGCAACATCATCTATTCTCCAGACTCTGAGCATTCTTGTGTATTCTTCTCTCTGTTTGGAACGCTGCCAAACATTTGTGCATCCTGGAGACCCAGCTCCAATGGAACCCTAGTCTGTGCTGGGGCCTCTGAGCTTAACTTCTTCTGAAAGGTCAGGGAAAAAGAGAAATCACTCTTGCAAGGCAAGTCCTACTTTTAAATCTTCATTACTGACAAGATCAAAAGCCCCCTATCATTAATCAGCTCCCGTTTTAAAAAATTGGCCTGTCGGGCCAATTCTTATGCTGAACGCCAGTTATTCTATTTAAAGTTGTTAATATTTATTACAATGCATATTTCACACATAAATTAACATCCAGTGCTTTTGGAACTTTTTTAGGATATCATTTGATTCACTTTTTTAGTTGTGAAAATGCCCTTCCTTACACATGACCCCTTGTAATTTTAGGAGGGAGGGGGCCAGGTAGAGTGGGTAGAAGATAGTAGAAACCAGATTTCTTTTTAATCTCCTAGGACTGTTCTCCCAATTTACTATTGTCTCAGACAAAGCAGTGCCGTGAAAAAGGATGGAAAAATGTTCTCGGCAAGTTCCTCTATACACTGAGGCTCTTTTTGTTTGTTTTAGATGCAAGTTCCTGTGACCAACTTTGAAGTCACTTACTCAGGCATTCTTTGGATTTTTAAACAAGAACTCCCTATTCCAGTTTTATAGCCTTATGGGACAGCACATTTCACCTTCTAGTTACTTCCTTTGTGTTTTCCTTTACAAAGCAATCCTTTCCTACAAATCTTGTAAAGATAGTCACAGTTTCGCTGTCTTATAAATGATCTCTGATCTGATTAGTTTTCATCTCCTTGGAGCTGTTAAAACCAGTTCTCTTGGATGTGTTGCACAGGAGTTCCTGAAAAAGAAAAAAGGGGAAGTGAGTGGGTCACCCCAAGAGTGCTTACCAAGCCAGGTCAAGCATAATAGAGCAAGATGTTATTGTGATGACTTTTGATCTGATCTGGACAAATTCCCTTTAACCCAGTGTACACCTCGCAAAGGAAGGAGGGAAAAGCCCGCCTCAGGACTGTTAGTACGGAGCCCTGAGCACCTGGTTGAAGTGCTCTCTGTCTGCCAGGGTCTCTCCTTAAACTTGGACCTGCTAATTTGAGAATTTGAGGTGGATTGTGCCTGCGTTAATTATTACTGTGGTGTTCTCATGGTGATTTTCTCTTTCCTCTCATTTTTTTTTTACTTTTTATTTTTTCTAATTTTATTATTTATTTATTTATTTATTTATTTATTTATTTTGTGAGGAGATCAGCCCTGAGCTAACATCCATGCCAATCCTCCTCTTTTTGCTGAGGAAGATTGGCCCTGGGCTAACATCTGTGCCCATCTTCCTCCACTTTATATGGGACGCCACCACAGCGTGGCTTTCCAAGCAGCGCGTCGGTGCACCCGGGATCCAAACTGGCAAACTCCAGGTTGCTGCAGCGGAGCGCGCGCACTTAACCGCTGGCGCCACCGGGCGGCCCCTCCCTCATTTCTTCTACATTTATTAACTAGAATTCCTCTGTAAGGAAGACTTGTCCCCTCTTCCTGACTTATTATGTAGTCATTTATTGATATCCATATGGACTTATAAGATATGAATTTTATTCTTTGGGTTATAATCTGATAGATCGTTATTTCTTTTGTTGCTTGGATTGTTCCAGCTGTGGCCTTTTTGACTTGCCCCGTCATTTTCGCTGAGCACTTCCTTGCTTTCTGGCACCATGAGGTTTTCACATTTCTCCATAAAGCTCATCAGAAGCACCAGATAATGACTGTCTTTTGTAAAGCACTCTGCATGTAATTTATATTAATGTAAAGATGATATTAAAGGTTATCAAAGCAAAGTATCATTCATTACATGCAAATTACAGATATCAAGTCCGAGTACTCAGAGAGAGCAAGCATGACAGGCTGCAAGTGCTACAGGCAGAGGCTCAACCGCCTCCAATTTGCATTCAAAATGTTACTGCCACTGAGCAACACAGTGGGGCCTTTTAAGTCATGTGACATCATTTTAAGTGGGACAGCTCAGCTACTCTCCATTCCCAAAATGCATTATCTATTCTGGTAGAAACGGGAAATCAGTGGGACAGAGATGTGGTATTAAATACAACCGTATTTCTCTAGCAATATTCATGAGATGAATTCACATAATTTGAAATATTGCACCAACTCTTCTGTTAAAACATACTCTTGTAAGTGGGAGGTGGGATGAGGAATTATGTATCTATTCTTGTCAGCAGCTGGATTTGAGTCTTGATATCAACTTCCCTTGTGCTGGTCAGCACAAGTTTGTCAAAGGAAAAAGAAAAGGACGATAGGAACAATTCAGAAGAACCACACAGTAAGCGGCGGGGAGAAGAATGTCCATTCCTGTAATGTAGAGCAACTTAAAATGAAAAAAGTCTCTAGTGTTGAGTAGAACTGATACAACTTAGTTTACTTAAGGCATTAAAATTAGGGTACAGCTCAGGAATTTTCAAAAATGTTGTCTCGCCATCGTCTCTTTTGTGATAAAATGACAAATTTGTCCATGCAAGAGCATACCCAGATCCAGGAGCAGGGACACAGTACTCTGATTCAAGAAGGAAAAGGTACGCCCTGAAATAGACCAGAGCCAAAACAAGACACACAAGTTCAGGTCGTCTGTCTTCACTGTGGGAAGCTGGGAAAAAAGTAAACAAGAAGACTGTCTTCCCAGTGTAGGACAGAGAGATGAGTAAGATTAAGCAGGAGATAGGACAAGCTGCTGATTTTTTTTGGGGGCCCTACAGAGTTCAGCCGCCAGTTTGCTGGTTTAGGTGTATTGGCCTCTGGAAAGTCCAGGTAACTCCAGCCATGGTGGGTATAATCAACGATGTTCAAAGACTTTGGACCCATTGCTCTGAGAATGCATGGGACAGTTAGCCAAGAAACCTCAGCACTGAGATGCTAGTCCACAAGTCCAGCTCAGCTATTTTCGTGTTGAAACACGCCCAGTCACTTTCAGGGGTTTGAATTTCTTCGAGAAAGGGACAAGATGGCCCAGCGACCCTGGCTTTAGCAAAGAGAATCACCCCTGGAATTGGGCAGACCCCAGACCAGTTCTTCTGAGTGGGGTTCAAGAAAAAAAGTCCCAGTAACAGTGGGCCTTAGGGAGGCTCTATGAGTTTCAGTGTTTGCCAACTCTAAGATCCTATCACAAGGCCTCATCGCCCTGATATGCCAAGGCATGTAATGAGTGAGGCGCCATGGTGCCTGGAGCAGGTCTAATTTCGTATTCATCTGTGCCTTCAACACTTCAGATTCTTAATTTCCATGTTCTTTAATCCCTCTGTAGGAGCCTGCCACTGATGTCACTATAGTCGGCGCTCAGTATCTGCGGGTTCCACATCCACAGATACAGAGGGCCACTAAGGGACTTGAGCATCCGTGGATTTTCATATCCGCTGGGGATCCTGGAACCAATCCCCCGCAGATACCGAGGGACGACTGTACTACTTGCTCAGCAGCTGTGTGGATGAGTCTTCTGGCCCTTGATTAGTCTTCTGTTTAGATTGCTTTGACACATACGGATTTAGAAAGATGATGCTAGTGATCTCTTGTTCGTAAATCCTCACTTTGAGAGTTTTTTTAAAACTAATGAAACAGGTATAAGAACATCTTTCTGGAGAAATCCCAGGATGTAACCAATTTAGAAGAGTTGCCCCAATATCATAGGTGAGGTATGAAGACACCCTATATTGGGTAGGGGGTCAGCTTTTGTCACCTGTGGGTCCACTAACCACCAGCCTTCTCTATTTTTCAGGGGCCAATGATTTAATTTCTTTATTGTCTTATTTTCTCTCTTCCTGAACGTCTCCCATTTATTTCACTATCTCTTCCTACCACCAGATGGTGGAAAGGGAAAAGGAAATAACAGGACGGTAAATGAATGTGGTGGCTGGCAAAGTATCTATGGCAAAAGGTGTGGTGGTGAATAGACCCCAAAAGAAGCTTGTGAGTTACCCGTGAATTCCCACGAATTCCCTGTTTTCATTTTAGTGCCCACCCAAGGGTCGGCTGCCCAGGTCTAGGGGTCAATATGGCACAATGATGCCTGTTGGGGAGGGAGCCAGGCTTTGCCTCAGTGGATTCCTGGGAACATCAGAGCCTGGGAACATTGCTGAGCAACAAAACCTCACCTGGCCCAGGCACGCGGGTGCAGGTTAGAGGTCCCTGCGAGGGTAGGTGTGGAGCGATGCGCCCCACCAGCCCCGCGGGGCCCTTCTGTCTTTCCCCATCTCCATTCCACCACCTCCTATCTGCAGAACTCGCACCTGGCCTGCCGGTCTCACGCTGCCCTGAGGGGACAGAGAGCATTTCTCTCCCTCCATAGGGACCCCTTCTTCCTTCCCAACAGCCCCCTCTGTAAAGCTTTATTCTGGGTTGCCTCGACTCCCCGGGGTCACCTGCCATCACCTTCAGCAGGTGTTCGGCCCCTCACCTGCCCATGGTCTCACCTCCCCCGGCCCGTCCTCCCACCCTCGTCGCACCCTGGGGGTCGGCTACTTCCACCTTCTTTCGCACGTGTCCCTCCACTCGGACACCCCCCTCCCCCACAGGCCCACCCCCCTCCTCCGGTCTCGAGGAGTCTCGCGGCATTTCCCGGGGCGTTAGCTGAGCCGCCGCGGGTGGAGAGCGGCCTCGCGGAGGTGGGTCCCTCCCCAGCAGGCGGTGAGCGGGGCACCGGAGTCCGGCAGCCGCAGGCACGACCCGGGCGCCAGCCCCG